TAAGGGTTACCTTACAGTAGACATGGGACCCACACCAAATTTATAATACTTTATAATGACATTAAATAAACAAGTTCGGCGCAAATAGAATTTAAATTGAAGTTTGCGAAAAAAAGTTAGTTTTTCCTGTTGCCTCACCCGCCTCCAGGCCCCCTATTTGAGATAATTCAAATTAAAGTGGTGCAACTTATTATCTACTATAATTTATCGCCAAATTTAAAATTTTATTTAAAAAATCCAAATATTACAGATTTTATTCGATTTTAAATTTTTATTATTTATTTTATTAAAATAAAAAAATATTTAAAATGGTATAAAACCTGTAATATTTGGATTTTTTAAATAAAAATTTTAATTTGTCGATAAATTATAGTTGATAATAAATTGCACCACTTTAATTTGAATTTCAAATAGGAGGGCCTGGAGGCGGGTGAGGCAAGAGGAAAAACTAACTTTTTTTCGCAAAACTTCAATTTAAATTCTGTTTGCGCCGAACTTGTTTAATGTCATTATAATTATAGTTTAAACTATTATAAATTTGGAGTGGGTCCCATGTCTAATAACTGAGATATTGGTATACCCAAAATCCACCAGCCGCCACTGAACACAGTAAATGAACTACAACGATAACGCAATTTATTTCCAATTTTCAACAATTCTTATTTTGGTAAATGCTCAAAATGACCACCGTTCTCTTCTACACATCTCCTAACGCGTTTTTTCATATATCCAGGTTTATTTCTTTTGGATTCACAAGCATTTACAACCCGCAGCATTAATGCCTTAACGTTATGAATTGCATACACCAATGATTTTAAGTATCCCCAGCCACAGAAGTTGAGTGTATTTAAATCTGGAGAACGAGGAGGCCACGGATTTCACCCTCGTCCTATCCATCGGGCAGCGTAAACTTTTTCTAAATGTGTCATTATATTCGCAGACAAATGGGGTATGCGCCATCATGCATAAAACACATCGGCAATATTAAATGGTAGGCACAATATCAAGGAGGTTTATAAAAAAGTTTTGGGAAAACACTGTTAGCAGGAAACGCAGGATAGGGTAATAGCACAGTAAAAGTATATTATGAAAAACGATTTCAGAATTATTTTTTTTTATTTTTATTATTATTATTATTTTAATGTGCTTCCAACAGGCACCAGGCCCAATTACAAGAGTATACACAGACACACGCAAATAAACAGCCATACCCCTGGTGGGATTCGAACCCACGATCTCTCGGCTTGTAGTCCGCAGTGCTAACTACTACACCACCGAGGGCGGTTATGACATACAATGTATATTATACATGACATTCAAAATACTAACAATCACTATTTATATTGTTTTCTCACAGGTACATATTGTGCATATACTGGATAAATAATAGCTGCTTTTACTATTGTTATTTGTATTGTTACCTATCATAGTTACAAAAGATTGTTACAATAATTTGTAAATAAATTTGTTATTAAAAGTAATACAATAATAATACATGGTGTCAGGTGTAAAAAAACATTATGAAAACTGGTTTTAATAAGCCTGGAAATATAAATATAATAGGAAATCCAAAAGTGGAAAGTGGAAAACAAATTTTATGACGTATCTTTGTGCAGCAAATTTAGGAAAAAGGAAAATTGCTATATTAATTAATTGGTAAATTTTCACTTTAGCTACTTTTCCGAAAAACAGCAGGAAAGTTCATAAACAATCGGCGCAGGGTGAAAAAGTTGTATAATTATCGCGTAATTAATAAAAAAAGGGGGCTGATAACCGTGATTTTCGTTCAAAAAGAACATGCAGCGAGCCAAAAACACGTATCTAATAGACGTAGAATTTGAAAGTGGAAGTGAAAAAGCATGAATTATGAAAAACAACGTCATAAATTGCGGAAAATGCAACTTTTAAAATCAGGTAATTTGAGGTTATGACGATTAGCTGTCATCTTGGTTATGCAGGAACACTAAAATGGGCAAGTGAGCGAAACCAACCCAAACTTAACAACCCAACCCAACATGGTTAACTGCCAAGTCGGTCCCAGGGGACCGCTAATACTTTTTACATCCAGGCCACGGCGGTCCCTGTGGACCGACTGTCAATTTTTTGTTTAACATGATTTTCTGGCCAGCGGACCGCTCGTATAAGGTATTTTAAAGCATGCATAGGACCGCTTGGCCCTGATGGCTGACGAAGATACAAGAGTTTTTTAATTATTTATTTTTTAATCTGTATTTGGACGATTTTATTTTTTAAAAGGATACAAGTAAATACAAAAATAACAACTTGGCCCAATAAAAAAAATCACCAATAACGCCGTGGCGTTTAACGTGTTAAGGGAATTTAGATATATCAAAGGTATATTGGTATTGCATACAAATACAATCACAAGAAAGGTTACTTGAAAGGATATAGGATATACCATGGTGGTGATATAAATACGGGTCGTTCAACGTCTGGAGTTATTTGTATGTATAGCAGAGGAGCAGTGTCATGGAGCAGTAAGAGACAAAGTTCGGTTGTCTACCACCGAAGCAGAAATTGTAGCAGCATGTGCATGTGCAAAGGAATTGATTTGCCTTTTCTAATGAAGCCGCAATTAAACTCGCTAAGAACCCAGAATTTCACAATAGAACAAAACATATAAGAGTAAGAAAATTCTTTGTTCGGAAACTGGTCTTAGGTCAAGTAGTTGTAGAGAAAATAGATGGCGTATTATAATACCAGAATACTGATCTCATGACGAAAGCCTTATTTAAACCAAGAGGGTTGGATTTAAGAAACATGATGTGTCTTGAGTAAGAACACTTAAGACAATACGTCAATGACGGAAGGTGTTGATGTTGGAACACTTTGTACATTGAAGTATTGTTTTACTATCTGTAACAATAATGAATGAAGTTGAAATAAAATTAATAAAATTAATTAAGTCTTTAAAAGTCTCTTTTTGAGCAAGTAAATTGTAAACACTAAGAGTATTATATGGTTAGATCATATACATTAACAAACTGTATTTTTGGAACGTCCCCTTACATAGCAATCCCTCTAGTACTTGTTTCAGGATTAGCGGCAACAACTTCCAGGACCGTTTGTTTGTTTTCGAGTTGTTCGATTTCTCCCGCAATCACCTTTGTTTACTTTATAAGTGCCAGTTTCACACAGTCTTTAATGGTATACCCGGGAATGCTTCTTGGTACAATCTTCGAGCTTCGCGACTATTACCATTGGCCTTACCGTACATGAGAGGCATGTTGGCCATTTCTTGGAAAGTGAAATTTTTGTTAGAAATTACAGTTTGTTCTGATTTATGTTATGCCAAACGATTTGACAAATGTCACCACTGACAAAATAACGATATTTGCGAAGTAGGCTAACTTGATATTTTTTTATTGCCTACTAATTCGCTTGAATTTTTTTGTGGCGAGAGATTTTTAATAGCGTTTTTCTCTAAAACAGTTGGCTCCATTACTTTGTAACAAGAGCAGCTTTTTTTGCGAAAAAATATCTAGAGAATTGTATCTGTTATCTGTAATTGTATCGAGAATTCGACAAAACCCTACAAAAAAAGGAGGATTTTTCCCCCTAGTAGCCCCCAGGAGGCATTTTCGGACATCTGTTTATCTATCTATCTAAAATCACCCCCCGAAATATATTAACGTTATTTCTGGACACCCTGTATATTTCCAGAGATAAGTTTAAATTTTCTGGTAAATTTTAAAGAAATCATTGATTAAACAACTGATTTAAACTAAATTATCTTTGGAAATAAATACAGGGTGTCCCAAAACTGTGAAACAGACGATGGTACGTTCTTCGGAAACTTTAAGTGATTCACAGAAAAATATTAAGGATATTCGAAGAATTTTGCCAATATCCAAATACTTAGTGTAAACTTCTTTATTTTAAGGCATTTTTATAAATTTTTTGTTTATCATATAGTTTAGCTATAGTTGTCGCGGCGAATGTTTCAAATTGCGTCACCAAATTCTGAACCAAGCACAGACATTACAATTATTGTTGTTTTCTTTTACTTATATAATCCAAGGAACCGCTAGGTTAACCGTATGTCAAGAAATCGGTTTTTGACATTCGACATTGATGACGCAATTTGAAACATTCGCCGCGACGACTATAGTTAAATATATTCCCTTAAAATAAAGTTTTTGAACCCTCATAACTCAAAGAATTTTGCCAATATTACATATTTAATATTTTTCTGTGTATTACTTAGAGTTTCCAAATAACGTACCATCGCCTGTTTCACAGGGTTTTGGCACACCCTGTATGAGACAAAAAATTACACGTCTATTTTTGCAAAAACACTATTATCCACAAAAAGGTCTGTCGTTTTTGCGTATCTCGCGTATTTTGTAGACTAAAAAATTTCTTTTGAAACATTCTTGTTTTCTCGTGTTAAACAAGTAGGAGCTTGAAAAATTTAATATGTTTCGAGCCACCCTAATGTTTACATATGGATAGCGTTTATTGAAGAGGAACCACGCGCCATAAACTTTATCTGGGGTAAACACGCTGCTCATAAAATAATAATGATTTGGGAACCTTCTCAATTCTTTTTGAGAAAAGTTCCAAATGATGATTAACCTTATGAGCATTATTAAATATGAGTTATTTTACAAATAATTTTACTAATCCCAGAGAAAGTTTTTGGCGCTTGGTTCCTTTTCGATAAGCATTATCCATATTAGTTTCAAAAAAATTGGGTAAAATAAATAGTTAGGTTCGGGACAATATGCAATTGGAAAAGGCAAGCTCTCAAGGAATTCGTAATATTTTATAAGGTAAAGTTCCAAGAGCTAATTTATAAGTATAAGGAGATCCCATTTTTAAATATAGACTCCAGTTTTTGTCTCAAGAACGCGAATAAAGCATTTTTGATGGTAAATTTAAAATAAGCATATAAACATCATAAGTATAATTTGTTCAAGATTTTTCTTGAATTTTCATTTGATTTAGAGAAGGTTTAGAGTACCGCCTTTATTTACCTGACTTGGAGGTATTTTTATCACTTTCTCTAGTAAGATTAGCACCATCTCCACTGCCAGTGATGATTTTATCGCTTGAAGAGCTTCCTCCAGGCGACACCCCCTCTCTGTTGTGCGTACCCGGCAATGCCGGAAAATCTTCGGACGACATCGTAAACTCACTTGATTCCGAAGTCGGCTGTTTCACCATACCCACGTAAGGTTTTCCGCTGGGCATAGGACTCGGCTGGGGAACATCCGAATTCCGGTTTGTTAGCGAAGGAAACTCACTAAGGTCTAAAAGCGATGGAGTATTCGTGTCACCGGTTCCAAAAACAGAGTTAAAGGAACTATAACCACCCAGTGAGCTCATGCTTCCCATTTGGTTACTGTTTCTGGAAATAGAATTATAGAACTGTTACAAACATAACTTTATATTTATAATATTATAGGGTATTCAATAAGACCGCAACCATTTGTGTAATATATAACTATTTTTTCTGTAATTTCTTATAATATAATTTGAATGACAAAATCCAACCTTCTAAAATATTAAAATTATTATAATTATCTTTGCTATGTTGTACCCTAATATTTGACTGGTGCGCAACATAATGTACCATAACTTTTTAAAACATATACCATAATTTTTATTTTGAGGCGCGCAGCACCCCTCACAGCTTATTCTTGTTTTGGCTGCGCATGTTTCGCGATTTGAATTCCCGAGTTCTGCGGAGTCTCGGCCATGGCCGAGAATCTCGGCCTTTTTCACCGAGAACGAGATCTTAGGCAGATTTTTGGCCCAATAGCCGAGCCGGACCTTATATTTTATCACTACATACCTACCTAAATATTTTATTAAGAAAATATGCATTATTTATATAATTTATCCTAAATATTGGTCATTCACTGACTGAGAGAGCCGGTACTTTCTTTGTCCCGTCTGTCAGTTAGTGAATGGCTAAAATTTCGGATAATTTATATAATGTTATTAATATTATATGCGTGTTTTCGTAAACACATTGATTTAATGTTAAACTATAACAATTATTAAATGATAATTTTAAAGATATTTACGAAAGTTAACCAAAAAGAAAGTGATGGGTTGGACACTCAATCAATTTGGAATGACCGGGGTATAAAATACAGGGTGCGGCAAGTTAATTATCTTATTTTATAATGCAATAAAACCAGAGTTTTATAGTTTTTTTTCACACGGTTTCGAATATAATATCAGGCAAGTGACGAACCCTATTAGCAATACACTAGTATTGTAAGCCTAAAGTTTCCCATCACTCTCTCCAGCATATCGACGGGTATATTGGCTATTTCTTTCCAAATATTTGCCTTCAGGTCCTCCAGGGTCTGTGGGCGATTGTTGTAAACAAGAGAATTTAAATAACCCCACAAGAAAAAATCGCAGGGCGTTAAATGGAATGAAGTTCTTCGTGAAGAATTCACCTCACAGACCGATCGGAAATTCCAAGGGCAGACGCATGTTTGCGCGCCGAATGCCTTGGGGGTCGCGCAAATTAACGCCTTACCGCTTCCACATTCTCGGGGGTTCTGACTAGCCTTGCGCCTCCAATTTTTCTCTTTTCCACGCTTCCTGTTTCCCTAAATGTGCTAACCCACAAAAGAATTAATGCCCTTACCGGGACATTGCCTAGGGGCGCAATATTGAAGCGATTGCGGAAGGCGCGCTGTGTTGGAATTACCGAACCACCGTTAGAAAAGTACGCCTCGACGGCAAACACGCGCTGCTCATTTGTCCAACGCATAATGACAATTGGACCGAAGTGAAATAACACTTTAAGACCTGCGCCGTCGAATAAGACCACCCCCACTCTTATAGGACCGCGCTAAACTACAGGGCGTTCAATCAAAATAAGATAATTAAGTACCCCAGAGCCAAACTACACTTTTTTCTCGTCACATATTTTTTGCTTTTGTTTTTTCGCTCTTTCCAATGGTTTTTGATACAAAAACCATGGTAATAGCGGAAAAATATAGGCAAAAAAGCCGGTGTGAACTTGGCAGCCAAAGGTTAGCAGGCAAATTTCTGAACGTAGTCGTTAGAAGAATTAAAGGCAAATATTAATAAACAAATTGCTCAATGCAATGCTACACACTCAAAAAAAATAGGTCATTGTCTTCTCGTGGCGCAATTTTTCTAACATAATTTTACATGTTTTAATAAATAGGTAGTTTTCATAAAAAAAAAATTTTTTAACCGATAATGATAAAATATAATGTATTATACGGTATTACCTATATATCAATTATATCATATATTATACAGGGTGTCCCATAATTAGGGTGCATTACTTTAACAGCATACAGTCCTATAAGCATAGGTTGAGAAATACTTCCTAAGGGAGCTACAGCCCCCGACAAAGAAGCCCCTGAAGATGGTTTTTATTTTTAAATAAAATATCTCCAAAACCGTTTCAGATAGAAAAGTGAAATTTTGTGATATAATCAAACTTTTTATGGCCAATAAGATATAATAATAAAAAATTAAAAATTCCAATAAGGGGTTGGTCAGATAGATGGGGAGTAGGGGTAAATCTAATGGTTAATCCGTCAATAAAGATATTTATTTATTTATTTAAAACCACCCTAACTTTTTTGTACGTATCTTGTGCTAGGATTTGATATCAGATCATGAAAGTTTTACACATAAAAAAGGTAATATTGTTGAACTTCGATTGCATGCACCGTTTTCCCTTAAAATCGATTTAAAAATAACCTTATTAAATATATAAAAATTCATAATAAAATCTTAACTAGAGAAAAAGGTTTAGCGTAGGCCATGGAACACGGCTGCTATCTTTAGGAAAAATTATTTAAGACAGGTGAAAATTTTATTTATTAAGTGAAAGGGTGTTTGAAAATTGTGTTTAAAACTAATTAAAATCTATCAAGTACTGTTTTGAAAAAATTTAACATTTCACAAACCGAAAACTGGCAAACATGCACTTTGAATATGGATTCTGTAATGGTCGTGCTCTGGCAGCTGAGTATGAATACCGACGACGATTTCCAAACGAAAGAGCTCTTACACGTCAAATGTTCATTCGCATACATAAAAATTTGAGGAAAAATGGCAACTTTAGACGTACTCAAAAGGGCAGGGGCGACCCCATAGGAATCATGCAACTGAAAATGATTTCAACCATTTTGAAGATAACCACCATACAAGCATAAGAATGGTATCCAGATTAACACAGATACCGCGGTCAACAGTACAAATTAAGGAAGGTATTTGTAAAATAAAAATAATGAAACATAAATTTTGGATAGGAAGAATGCTTCGGATGCAGGGAATTCACCATACCATTATCGACGGGTGTAGGACTTTTTTCCAAGAGTACAGTTCTCCCAGTGGGTTTTGGATTATGAAAATTTTCTTTTCAACATACTACATACTGTATTTTTGGGCCACCGAAAATCCTCGACTAGTACGACGGACAAGCTTCCAACGTAGATTATCGGTGAATTTATGGTCAGGAGTAATAGGAGATTAACTAATTGGTCCAATAGAATTTTCCAATCGCGTTAATGCGAATGCGAATGGTTATTTAAACTTTCTCCAAAACAATCTAGGTGAACTGTTGAAAGATCTTCCCTTATATTTGCGGAAAAAGCTGGCCAGAATTAAAAAAATAAATGTATTTTTTTTTTCTTAAAAAAAATAGGGTATTCTATAAAGAATCTATTTTTGCACCAACTGCCAAAAATATGTGGCTATGTTTTATCCATTTGGGCTTTGAGAAAGCGAGTAAAAGGGCCTACTGCCATACCTGAGCGAGACGTTTCGAAAGATCAAATTTTACGTTCTGTTACAAGTTCGGTAGATTTTGTTTAAAGTGCGCGATTTCTTCGACGATACATGGAGCGAGTTGCTGAAGGTACGTATGATAAAATTTTAATACGAGGTTTATGTTATTCATGCATGTTATTATAATAGTGACCTCAAAGTGATCTATTCAGAAACGTTTAGTCAACAAAAAAGTAAATGAAAAACATGTTTTTAAAAAATGCGCTGCGCAGCCCCGATGTAATTTCTATCAAAATACAAAGTTAACAAGTTACTTAACATAGTTAATATTAAAAATTTGGCTGCGACCAATTGCGATTTTTGTTTTAAGGACGCTTACAAGGTAGATAAGCGTGGATCATGCTTAGGCGCATTAGCAGCCCAACTTGTACAATAATGACGAGCCTGATGTGGAATATGCAGGTGAAGTGGATGTAGTTATAAATTAAGATTCTATTTGAGAAAATTAATTTAATTAATTTGATATTAAAAATTATTTAAGTTTTTTTTGTTTTGTAACCTTAAATTTGTATAACTTGACCTCCGAAAACATTAACACTCATTTTTACGGGTGCAACGTTATTTTTAACAAAAACAAACAGCCATTTTGTGGTAAACATTTTGTTCTCAATCATTTTGACCTCAAATTTGAGGTCCTTAACCCCAAAAACCCATTACTAGTACTTTTTCGTCATTCGCCATTTTGTGGCGGCCATTTTGTTTTTTACTATTTTGACCTTAAATTCGAATTATGGGACCCCAATAACATAAAGGTATTTATTTTCAAATAAATTCGCTCTCTATTTAAATTTTGGTCAGCTTTTTGTGTTTCCGACCACTGTGCGCCAGCTCATTGTGCGCGAAATGTCATCAATGGTTAAATGTCAACTTTCCTGATCGGTGGATCGGTCGTAATAAGCCCATGCGCGAGGAGCTGCTGCAAAGAATAAATGTAGCTGCCAATAAAACAAAATTGGACCGATTTCAAATTTGCTTCTTAAGCTCTATGCGTTGAGCAAAATGGGAACCATTTCGAACAGACGCTCAAGTAAAAACAATTACAAATAAATTAATTTTGTATTTTTTGTTAAATTAAATGTTTAAAATGAACTTGTATTTCTTTTATTTATTTTGAAAATTTGAGGATCTCGGTTTGGAAATCGTTGTCGGTATTTATGCTCAGCCTCCAGCTAACATTAACGAAGTGCATGTTTGCCAGCTTTCGGTTTGTGAAATGTTCCATTTTTCCAAAACAGTACTCAATAAATCTTAATTAGTTTCTAACACACTAATTGCATGAAACTGTCACCTGTCTTGAATATTTTGTCCTAAAGATTGCAGCCGTGTTCCATGGCCTACGCAAAATTTTTTTCTCTAGTGATTTCATTATGAATTTTTATGCTATGTAAGGTAATTTTTAAATCGATTTTAAGCGAAAACGGTGAATTCTATCAAAGTTTAACAATTGTACCTTTTTTGTAAAACTTCGAAATTTCATTATCTGATATCAAATTTTAACAAAAAATACGAACAAAAAAGTTAGGGTGGTTTTACCCCTACTCCCTATCTATC